CGTAAGCCTGTGCGTACCCCTAGACACTCCCCTTACGCTGCCCTATAAGATCTTTTGGGAGACCCTAGGAGCCGTCTTTTTCTAGCCGTCTGCCATGGCGGGGGGGGGAAAGACCCGAGCTAACATGGGGTTAGTTCGTTAAATTACAATAAAGCCTCGTGCAGTTTGCAGCAAGCTCTCGAATCCGCCTGGTGATTGGGGTGACCGCGAACCTGGCCTGAGACCCCGGATACTTGAGTTTTTCGGGGGTCTAACAATATCTCAGAGGAGCCCTCTGTGGTCCTTATTCCACTCCTCTCAGGAGTCCATAGGAGTAAGGTGATATGCCCATCATTTTCTGGATCATCCTCTATATAGGGCTTCAACTCCACCTTTAGGCCTTTCCCAAGATGATCAAGGGAAGGTCTTAGATGGTCAATGAGCAGCTCCTGGTGGAGAGAGTGGACACTGGGGTTGGGTATTCACATGGGCCTTTGAGGCCCCTGCAGAGTCATGTAGGAAGAGAAATCAGAAGTCATGAGTAAAGATTCCTGTTTATATTCTTACCTCAGTTCCACACATAGTAGAGACAGACCTATGGCCCATGTCCCTAAAGTCAGGCAGGTATTCTGGGCATGTGTATCCCAGATTTTGATTGTCACATGAGGGAGCCAGAGTAGACACACTAAAAAGTGAAATTAACAGACTGTAAAGCCAGCAAATTGCTGCTGTAAGTGGGAGAGCATGCATGAAATACCAGCAAACAGGCTAAATCAACTCCTTTCCCTAAAGATGTAAGTATCTGCCTCTCCTGGCACACAGATCTGGAGATAAAGCCAAAAATGAGTTCCAATATCTCACCCTGTAGCCAGCCAGCCAGGCAGTCTCATGATACTTTCCTGGGCAAGTAATATCCAGCCCCAGATGGGATGCCTAAGGTTTTTTATTGCCTGCTGAGCCCAAAGAGGCCCAGCTTTCTTCAGCCACCATTGACTCATCCATCCTAAGAGTTAGAGTTAGAAGGGGGAAGGGCTGCTTGCTCGGCCAGCTGCATTTGTTCCTTGGGCAGAGCTAGCAAGTGGCAGCTCAAAACAGCAAGAAAGACAGTGGGGGGAAGGGCTCTGCAAGGCGGGAGAAACCACCCGGAAGGAGATAAAAGGAGGGGTTTGCAAGAAATGGAAGTTGAAGAGCTGCAAATGGGAACGGCTTTAAAAACTGCTGTCAGCTCATCCAAGCAATTTTCCCCTTTGCATTTTGTTTTCCTCTTTCTAAAGGTTCCATGTGAATTATAATGAGCAATGTTCCAGACATTGTATGTGCTACAGTGGCTGTGCTATGGTTGCCCTGGAAAATGCCATACAAATGTATCTGACCACTGGAAATTACCCTAAAATAACTCAGATGTTCATCTACTGAGTACTCTATAGAAATGTAAAATATAAATATAATTCAACCCCAAATATAAAATGCTGGAGGAACTGAGCACTGATTGCTTCTGTTAGACTTCTGTACATTGTGTGGTTTTATATATCATGTTTATATGGTATATATTTCATGTTACTTTACAAAAATAAATGAAGCAAAGGAAGAGCAGCCTTGTGTTATCCCTCTAAGTAGAAAGTGGCTTCAGAGCCACTTTCAAACCTGCAAGGCACATCCTTATTTGCCTGTCAAAGATTGTTCATATAAAGCACTCCATGTTCTCAGGAGCGAAGTGATTGTCAGCAGAAAGGAACAGGAAAATGCTGCTTGGATCAGAAGGAAGACGGTTCACTTGGAGTCAAAAGTGATGTGAGTCCCTCTGTTATATTCTCTCTATGTGCTTCTTAATGCTGACCCAGCTTTGTAACTGAGCCTGTGTGTTTGAGGAACTCCCCCACCCCCCCACCCCCGGAACCTGCTTTGTTTGCAGCCTTCCCAGGAACTTCCAGGAACCAGGCTCTTTGCACAGTGCTCACACTTCCCAAGTACTTCCAGGAACCAGGCTCTTTACCCAGTGTTCACACTTCCCAGGTACTTCCAGTGTAGTGCCCAAATTGTGAAACCCCAAAATCACCAAGAGACCCATTTCAATGCAAAAACAGAGAGTCTTTTATTGTTGTTGTTTATTGAGCTAACCCTATTAGCTCAGGCCCTTCATCCATTCATCGAGGGAGATGCTTGGAGAAGGACCCCAAGAAACCACGAGGTGGGGAATATATTGGGTAGAGCAAGGGGAGTGTCTAGGGGTATGCAACAGTCTCAGGATTGGTGCACTTCCGGGCTTGGGAGACTTGTCCTGTATTGATTGGTCAACTGGTTGTTAGGGCCTATAGGCTCTCTCAGGGTGGTTGCTATGCTCTGTGAGTCACTGTTGTGTACTTGTATCATAAAGCACAGCCCTGCCAGCTAACTTCTGATTGGTTCCTTGCCAGGAGGAGGGTATCTGACCTCCTAGTGACTGGGAGGAGAGGCAAAGTCAGGCAAGCACATGTTGAGTCTTTTATTTAGCCTGTCATGGTTCACCAGGAACCAGGCCCTTTGCATAGTGTTCATACAAAGACAACAGCCTGATTTTCCCCCTCATAGTCTGAAAGACTGGAACAAAAGAAAAACAAAAACCTCTTAGATGGCAGAAAAAAACATCTACCTCATGAGGGACGAGTCACCTCCTCGGTTAGAAACAGAGGTCTAAAGCTGCCCCTGCTCACACAGCCATCCTCTGTCCCTGAGCTGAGACTCTGTCCCATAGCACTACCATTCGGGAAGCTAAGGATGAGATGATGGCAGCCACCTAGAAGTCCAGCTCAGCGCTCCAGCTCTCGCCTTACCGTCTGAAAGATCCTCATTTTCAAAAGATCCATTACTGGGTGTGTCCTCACAGGGTCAAGTAGAGAGGTTAATGAGATCCTAACTATTCACCCCATATGCTGTGTGAAAGGGGTAAATTAAACTAAAAGGCTTCACTTCTAGGAATGAAGGAACCAGACCCTCACTCAGTCCCTACTTTAGCAACCATGACAGGCTACAGAAAAGACATGTAGGCCTCTGACACAAGGAAACTCCAGATCCTCTGGCCTCCGGGAACCTAGGGCTAAACCTGAACACAAAGAAACTCCAGACTCCCCTAGCCTCCTAGGTACTTGGTTCCTGGGAACTGTTTGGCCACAAAAGAAACTCCAGGGGAGACCAAAACCTCCCCTGTAGTCTCCAAGATACAGTTTTGAAAATTATTGGTATCTATGTACAACAAGCCACCTGCAAGTAACAAAACAAAGCCATAGAAACCACAAAATGTTCCCTCTCAGCACTGACCAATGAAAATAATTGGCACACAGGTATTTCATGCCACAATATGACTTTGAGAAATTCTCCTAATTGTTCCCAAATGTCAACCAATTAGAAACCAACCCATCTCTACTGTAGCTTTTGTCTTTAAAACCTAGCAGTAGACAGGGAACTTCACTCCCTCTGGAGGTTGCGTCGACTAGCCAGACGGGGTCCCTGTCACGGTTGGATGAACAATTAAAACCTTGCTTTTGCAGTTTGGTGGGTCTGTCTTCCTAGTGGTCTCTGGGGATCTTTGTGACTTAGGCACAATACTGTGAAAGAGCTCAGAGCAGGCCTGGAGAAACTGCCCCTCATCCTCTTTCTCTGTGCCTGTGACCTGTGGACCTACTTGTCCACACTCACCTCTCACTGACACTTGCTTTTTTAGTCTAAAGAAGATGTACAGTGGAATAAAGGGGTGTTACCCCCAAGGAGGTGAGATACACACCCCCATAATGACTCACAAAAAAATCAAAACGTGGTAGAGTCAGTACACATCCAAAGTCCATTCCCAGCCCAGAAGACTTGGGTATTTAATTTTGAGCATCAATTGAGCTTTGGGTACCACTTGACTTACATTAAGCCAAATGACTATAGTTGTATTTAAATGAGAATACACCTCGGTATTTGCTCATAAGGAGAAACACAATTAAAAGGTAAAATGTCATGTTTTTCTTACAGTAGCACATAGTAAAATGTGGAATTCTGTGGAGAAGGCTGTGTGCTGAGAGAGACACAGCAGCTCACCAGGGCATCTCTGCCACATGGCTCCATGTCTGCCTATGACATGCCCTTCCCTTTATTCTCTGGTCATCTTCCATTCGGACAGCTGTTACGGCTTGGCCTAGAACCTATTTAGAACTTTTCATTTCTCAGTGCTGATTCATTGTTTGGCACTTTAATTCTCAGGAGAAATCTTTTTTTTCTAAGTTTTAGAACTAAATCATTGCCCCCAAGGACTGCCCGTGCTAATTCTCATGAAAAAAAAAAAACAAAACAAAACAAAAAAACAGCTGGTTAGATGTTCATTCTGCAGCCCTACAAAGTGCCTTTAAAAGGAACAACTATGTGTTCTTTCTGGAACCTCACAAGGCCTTAAAGAGAGAGAGAAAAAAAAAAAGACGAGGTGGGGTAAATGGCAAATGTCAGGGCATTTCATCTAATTATCACAATTACCCTCCAAAATAAAAATTATCTCCATTTACTTTCTAGAAAGGTTAAGAGCCTTTTCAGTGGAAAGGCCGCTGGTGGGAATGCAAGAGCGAACCAGACCTGTCAACCCCCAATGTCTGTCCCCTCTTCTCCAGTCACCGGCACCCCCCTGCACCCCACACCCCACAGTCCAGTTCCCTTATCTCGAGTATGTTTCCTGGCAACAAGGTTCCATCAAAGCTAAGGCAGATGTCAGTAAGGCAGGATGGCAGATGGGTCGATTTCTGCTCTGCTTTCATTTCCTGGTGGGCAAAATGGACATTATAACTTCCTTTATACAATTGTTATTAAGGTTAAATAACATTAACATGTGTAAATGCACTCAATAAATGGTAGTTCTGTGTGTGTTTACCCAGAAAGATGTTTAGAGGCATTTCCCCTAAAACTAAGGACTTCCCCAGAGCTTTAGGTTGTGAACTGTGACTGGCTAAGGAGGGGACAGTAGGCACAGTGAAAGTCCCCAAACCTCTTTAACATTTGATGGTTTTCACAGATGTCTTGGCATTTCCCAGGATGCTCTCTATAAGAGTTAATGACATTCTTTCCTTTGGTATCATATTAGTGGCTAATTAGCCTCTCACTGGCACTCAACATTCCTCTTTTAAGTTGTTGGGCTCCAGTGAGTTCCCTGCACCGGGGAAAAAATCTTGCCTAATTTCTTCAAGAATTCCAGTGCTCTCTCCAGTTAAGCTGAATTGACACAGCCATCTGCTTCTTTCTTCTTGAAAGATATGCACAGAGCTATTTTCAAAAGAAGAGTTCCAGCCCTTGGACCCGACCCAGGAGCTCATATTTCCCCCAGAACTCCTGGTAAGACACCTTGGGTATTTTATGTGCTTGTTTAAACATATCCAGTTATAGAGCCAAGTGGTGGTGGTGCACGCCTTTAATCCCAGGATTTGGGAGGCAGAGGCAAACAGATCTCTGTGAGTTCAAGACCAGCCTGGTCTACAAGAGTTAGTTCCAGGATAGGCTCCAAAGCTATACAGGGAAACCCTGTCTCAAAACAAACAAACAAACAAAAAACAAAACAAAACAAAAACATTCGGCTATAAACTCAACTTTGTAAATCTACCATATCCTTTAGGTGACATGTCAAATTGGAGAAGTGTTGGCTAGGATCCAGAAACCTACTTCCTCCCAGCCCTGACTGACCTTCCCCAAGCCTTAAGTGGGCCATTTTAAATATTATCCCACCCGTTATTTTCATCACTGTGATATGGAATGTGTCCCTGTTGGTTGCTCAGGCCATTCAGCTTTGCTGAGCCTCTGCCATGTTCTTCTAGGAACTTCACTATACTGACTGGAAATAGCATCTGCCTCATTCCTTTCTTTGCCCCCTGTTTTGGGGGCAGTTTCTTGACTGCTAGAAACAGGGGTGCCCCACTCCACCCTTCCTGCATAGCATATCAACCCTTCTTCTCAAGCATCCATGCCCCCTTCTATAAAATACGTTTCTCTCTTTTATTAAATCTTTATTTCTAATTTTAATGATATCTTTGATGGTGTGTCTGTGTCTGTGTGTGAGTGTGCACACCTAAGTGTCCATGTAGACAAAGGTGTAGGATCCCTAGAAGTGATATTATAGGCAGTTACGAGCCACACAACATGGGTGCTGGGAACCAAACTCAGGTCCTCTTCAAGAGCAGTACATGCTCCCAACCCCCTCCAGCCCACTTTTCTAGGGGGAGCTCTGGTGTGTTTACTCACTCAAAAATATATTCCATTCAGCTACATACCAGCACTGTCCTAAATACTAATATGCAACAAGAAACAAAGTTAAAAAAAAAAAACACTGCCCTAGGGGAGCTTATAATCTAGTAAGAAAGAGGAATAATAGGCAAACTAATAGATGGAGATATAACATGTAAGTTATGAATAGTGGCACAAGCCTTTAATCCCAGCACTCCATGAGGCAGAAGAGGGTGGAACTCTGTGAGTTCAAGGTCAGCCTGGCATACATAGTGAGTTCCAGGACAGCCAGAGCTACTATGCATGTATATAATCTTAACAAGTAAGAGATGCTAAGGAGAAAAATCACCAAGCAGAGAATGAAGCTAGACTGCAAATGGTCATAATTTTCAGTGTCATAGCCACAGAAGACACCCCTGAGGAGGTAGTGTTTGAAGAAATTCTAGAAGGAAGGATGGAGCCAGTCGTGAGGAGAGATGGAAGAACTTATCCAGGCAGTGAGAACAGAGAGTGTGAAGGCACTAGAGGCAGGGGAACAGCAGGCCTAATCAAGGACAGCGCTGGGCCATCCTGGACAGAGCACAGTGAGGAGGGAAGGTCAGAAGCCATCAGGACAGGTCAAGTTGGACATCACACTGCTTGGCCTCCTCTCTGTGTAAAAGCCACTATGAGGGAGGTTGCCTAGAGGAGGGACAAGCTCCTACAGATGTCATATCAAAATCCTTTCTGTTGCTGAGCCAAGAAGCACCCAAAGCAAGGGGAAAGGAAAGGAAGGACTGTGCTCCACCAGGGGACAAATGCCATCCAGAGGGGTGGTGGCTACACAGAATTCTGGATATGTTTTGGAAGAAAACCACACAGCTTGTGATAGGTGTGGTGTGATGTGGGGAAAACAAAGTCCAGCCTACCCCCAGAGCTGTGCATAGCTAGAGGGTACCAGTTACAAAGACAGAAAGACCTCCAGAGGGATGGGCCATCTTTCCTTTGGGGGTTCCCTTTCAAGGGCTGAGGGAGGGACTGGGCATGAGGAGCTCAGTTTGGAGCAAATTAAATGTGAGGTGGTCCTGACACATCTAAGCGGGGACAGACATCAAGAACTCACTGAGAAATGACTTGAATACTAGAGGGAAAAAAGCAGACTGAGGGTATTAACTTAGGATCATTTGTGAAACTGATCTTAAAGCAGTGAAACTAAATTAATACTAAATTAGCCCATGCTAGGCAGTCAAAGGCAGGTACCAGCTTATAGTGTCACTTGTTCCCAAAAGGCCATCTACTTACAGGAATTCAGGCTTTAGCCAGGGGACACAGTGAGTGTCTTTCTGGGTAGCTGGATCCGGGACCCTGAAATCTTCCTAGAGGGACACAACTCACCCGCAACTGGATATGTCCCAGAGTGACTGCTATGCACACATATACATATCCTCTCTTTTGTCCTCAGAGGATGGCTGAGAACCCAGAAAAACAAACCTTGACCTTTTACGGAGAAAGAATTACCTGGATCTCCCCAGGAACCCTCCAAGATCTCTTGGCACTGAAGGCAAAATACCCTGAAGCCCCTCTCGTTTCAGGCAACACATCTCTGGGTGAGTGATAACAGCCCTGCTTATTCCATTGTTGACGCCCGGCTGAACTTCCTGGTCCCTGCTCCATCCCTGATCTATTTTTTAGAGATGAAAGTTTTGTCCCATCTGATAAAACCAGTCATCTCCAAAGTTGGTTGACACATACCCTAGTAGTATTTAGGATGATTGTGGGTGGGTGAATGTATGAGAGGGCTTTTCTGATTAGCCCTAGCTGTCCTAGAATTCACTCTGTAGACCAGGCTGGCCTCTAACTCAGAGGTCCGTCGTCTGCCTCTGCCTCTGGAGTGCTGGGATTAAAGGTGTGCCACCACCCATCTGTCCCTTGTTATTTTATTAAGGTTAAATATTGAGTAGACCAGGGCATTGGTGGTGCACACCTTTAATCCCAGCACTCCAGAGGCAGAGGCAGACGACGGACCTCTGAGTTAGAGGCCAGCCTGGTCTACAGAGAGAGTTCCAGGACAGCCTCCAAAACAATACAGAGAAACCCTGTCTCGAAAAACCAATAAATAAATAAATAAATAAATAAATAAATAAATAAAATATTGAGTAGACATAAGAGAATGTTATAAAATATTTGTGGATGCATCAACTTTGCTTCCCATACATGCCTATAGCCCAATGGGAGAATGTTGTTAGTGTTTTTAACTCCTTTTACTCTTTGGGGGGCCCACCATCCAGCTCCCAAATAAATACAAACACTTACTATTACTTATAAATGCCGGGCCTTAACTTGGCTTGTTTCTAACCATCTTTTCTTAACTAATTATCCCATCTATCTTTTGCCTCTGGGCTTTTACCCTTCTCTATTTCTACATGTCTTTCTTTTTTAATAGATAAATACTTTATTATATACATATCCTTTTGTTTGTTTGTTTGTTTCTCGAGATAGGGTTTGTCTGTAAAACAGCTCTAGCTATCCTAGAACTTGCTTTGTAGACCAGGCTGGCCTCAAATTTAAAGCAATCCATCCTCCTGCCTCGGTCTCCCAAGGGCTGATATTAAAGGCATGCGCCACTACTGCCCAGGCGATCTGCACATCTTTCTTCTTACTCTGTGGCTTGCTGTGTAGCTGGGTGGTTGGATGGCTGGACCTTGAAGTCCTCCTCCTTTCTCTTTTATTCCTTAATCCTGTTTTTCTTTTTCTCCTATTTATTTTCCCTGCCTGCCATCACTACCTATCCTTTATCCTGCTTTGCTATTGGCCATTCAGCTCTTTATCTGACCAATAAGGTGCTTTAGATAGACAAAGTAACACAGCTTCACAAAGAATGCAAGACATCTTTGTATCATTTAACAAATATTTCACAACATAAGCAAATATAATAATCTTAAAATAGTATTCTACAACAGCAGAATGCTAGCCTAGCCTGTCCAAGCTCTGGGTTTGATCCCCAGCATCCCCAAAAACCTTGTAATTACTGTTTCAACAGCTGGCCTCTGTGATGGAGCCTGGCAGCTGAACTGTGTTGGTCCATTGGTCAGTCTCTTCCTTGTTTCTATAATTACCACATATGTTTGAATGCCTAAACAATGTGTCAGTTAGTTTTGTACATACTGCAGAGACTGTCAGTCACTATTCTGAAATGTCTGTTTTTCAGTCAATGCTCTTGACTCACGTGCATGTGCCGGTTCCTGCTCCTTTATGTAGCACAGAATGGCTTGCCCTCCAATCTATCATGGGAAGGCAGCTATTGAAATAGCTTCAGCTATTTCCAAGTTCCCAAGGTTTTATAAATGCCCCCCCATGGGGGGAATCGAACCCACAGCCTCGCACATGCTCAGCAGGTGTTTACCACTGAGCCACACACTTTCTCTGTTTTGCTTTGGTTTTTCATTTGCTGGTTTTGAGACAGGGTCTCAATATGTCACCTTAGCTAGCCTGGAATTCTCTGTGTAGGCCAGGCTGCCCTGGAACTCACAGATTTCAAACTCACCTGCCTCTGCCTCTTGTGTACTGGGATTAAATGCCTGCACCACCACCCTGGTACTAGATCTTGTAGACCAGGTTGGTCTCGAACTCACAGAGATCCACCTGCCTCTGCCTCCCAAGTGCTGGGATTAAGCATCTCCAGGTGCCTCTGTGAAAGAGAGTTTTAAAAGCCTTCCCGCACTCTCTTTTCCTATTGGTACAATGTAGCAAGAATATAAATGACTGGATACATACATTGGGCAAAGGGGTACATGGTCATTGCTTTCGCATCTATACACATTTATTATCAAGACTTAATCTTTATATCTGAATATCTTATGAGAAATTTCCTATGTAAAAGAAAAGCCATTTTCTCTTTCTCTAAAACTAATTTATTTTTCTTCAGGACCAGCCATGAGATCTCAAGGACACTTTTACCCAGTTCTCCTCTCTCTTGCTGCAGTTCCCGATCTTAGAATGGTGACTAAAAGCAGTGATGGTGAGTTCCTGGTCCTTCTGGTAAGATATTAATGAAGTGACCGCTGCACTAGCCTGACACATGTTGAATACGGCAGAATGGCCTCGTGCATCTGTCTTACGACTTGCCGTTCTTTTACTAACAAAGCATGTCTCCACTGCAAACCTTACTATCAAAGCCTTTGGGAGGGAGAAGACACAAGAAATATGCAGAGTCACTTGGATGGAAGAGAGGAGAGATGGAGAATATTATTTGATGCCCACGTGCTACATGTGTTGTGGTAACAATGGCCAAGCATCTAATGGGACATAAGCCTTCAAGCAAGCATTTCTATTCACTCACAACATCCTCAAATGCCCCCAATGTAGAGTAAAGGCAAACCACAAAGTAGAGAGAAATGTGAAAGATTTGAGTTCAAGATACACAGCAACCCTTTTAGAAAATGACTCTTACTATTTTCCCATCTTCATTGCCAGGGCTCTTAGTCTGGGGTATGCACACTTATGCAGTAGCTGACAAATTGATTTGGGGTGGAGTGGGACTGGGGGTGGATGAGTTGCTCAGGATTTTGAATGTGAGGGATTACAATGGTAGTGATGACACCCTTAACTTGAGCAACAGGGACGCAGAACTGACAACTTAGTCAAGAATGACTTGTAGGTCACTGTGTATTTATGGAGGTCTTTGGTGGACAGGGAGGAGGCTGAAGATAGCCAAGTCACTGCCACCCAGGAGTCCTACCTTCTGGCTTCTGCATTAGCCAAAGGCAGGTTCAATGAAAACCAGTGTACCCACTGCTAATACCCCCTCCAACCCAGACATTTTCAAGCGATGGGATTCCTTCACGAGTTTTGCCAGCTTCGGCTTGGAACAACCCAGGTAGTGTACCTGTTGTGGGCAGAGAGGAAATGGAAGAACCTGTAGACTGGGATCCAGATAATCTGCCTAAGCAAATAGTTACAGCAGGAGACCCTTGATAATCCAGCCAAGCACTGGTTAGCCTTCCTGCTCCTGCCTCTTCTCTAACACCAAGTATCAAGTCTGTAAATCTTAAAGAAAATATGAAAATAAGTTGCTATGTTGAAGGAGAGGGTCACTTTCTTCACCCCTCCTGTCTCTGAGCCCCTTTTTATGACTCCTCAAAGAGGCCTTCCAGAGCACAACTCAAAATCTTCATTGTAACCCAATCCTTCCTCTGTAGATGAAGACCATGAGGTGCAAAAAGAAACCGCACTCGCCCAAGGTCATCAGGTTACGAGGTCACCCATTCACAGTTCAGAAGCCCCACTGCCATTGGCACTCCCTTCTCCAGGCCACCAGGTGGGCAGCATGACCAGTTGATTTTTCACAGTAACTGCCCCATGTGGTCCCTCAGCAAAAGGAAAGCTAGGCAGGCTCTGAAGTCTGCAATGTGCGGCCTCTGACTTGCTTAAAACTGAAGCACGAGCGACCTCCAGTGGCCATCAGGAAACTTCCTGTGGCCCAGAGTGCGAAGGACACCACTAAGGAGAACTGGAGAACTGAAACCAGATGTGCTCACACCAGCATCCCCAGGAATCAAGTCTCTGTGACAGACAGCTTCACTTGTGGCGTGAAGGTTTCTGTAAGACTGCACGTTTGTCCACCTCCCACCCACGGTTGGCTCAGTCTAGTTTTCTTTCAACAATTTTTTTTTTATTAGTTCAAATTAGGAACAAGCTTGCTTCAGATGTCAATTCCTTCTCCCTCTCCCTCCCCTCCCTCCAACATCCCACTTTTTTCAACAATCTTTACTATGAACAGTCTCAGTGGCACTGTGCATTTACCTGATGGGCGCATGAGGCAGAGTTAAACTATAAAACCCTGAGATCAGAAGTTGAAGAGCTCTCCAACACCATCAGAATGCAAGCTGAGTTTTGTGACCAGAGACAAAAAATAAAATAGAAATACTGTGAAGTGGTAAGTGTACAATGGTTTGGCATAACAGGCCTGGATGGTCTTTCTGGCCTCCATTGGAGTTTGAACTCTTGTGAGGACAAAGAACTAGAGCAGACAGCTGGCATTCCATGCTCCACTGGAGGGTTTTCCATCTGTGTGAAAACCAGAAGCAGGGAGCAGGGCGTGGTGGCTCATTGACTCATGCCTGTAATTCCAACACTTAGAAGGAAGAGGAAGGAGGATCAGAAATTCAAGGCTACAAGAGACTGTCTCAAAAACAAACAAAAAGCCAAAAGAGGCAGTGGTGAGCCACTTTGGTCTCTGTGTAAAGCCTCTGGCCTAAATAATAGTAAGATGTTTGTATCTGGTTTCTTTCCTAATGAGGGCCCAGGGTCTTGTTGGGAAAAAGTCAGGGAACAATATTAGCTCTACTAGGCTCCTGCAAGGTATGACAAGAGTTTGGGGTTTGAGTTTTAGTTTATGGTTGAGAAGACTTTGTTTTGCTTTGGTTGTATTTTGTTTTAGAGGCACAGTCTCCTTGATAGCCCAGGCTGGTCTCCAAGTCATGATCGCCATGCCTTGGCCTCCCAAGTGTTGGGGTTACAGGCAGGCACCACTCTATCTGGCTACAGAAGGTAAAGAATAGGTGCCAATACAACTCATAGGGCTAAGGAATCAACAGGCCACTGGTGGCAGGTCTGAGGTAGGACCGGATCTCATTAGAGCATCTTTTATGAGATGTTGCGACGAGACAAGGACTCCAGGCTGACATTCCAAAGAAGAGGGATGATTCAGTTACAAATTTCAGGTGACATTTGTTTGGCATGTGTATAATTAAAAACTGCTCATCTGCTCCCATCCAGGAAGTTAGCTGAGGTTAGTGAATCAGTGGGAGAGTGATGGGTGTGTTAGCAAAGATGGGAAGTACTGTGCCAAGAACATTTAATATTGATAAAATATAGCTATGTGGGAGGGTGGGATACCCTCAAAGATGAGTCAACAAGAGAAAAGTCAAAGCCCAACCCGAAAGATGCTAAAAACAGGCTCAGGGCAATTAGTGTCCAACATGCCAGGCCAACTCAAACCCTGTGAGCTAAGGTTTCATTATGAAAACCTGAGAGCAGTGAAGGATTTATTTTAAAAGATAGCTTCGAATGGTTAGAGTGACCACGCACTTTCCTGTATTGATTTGACCCCTTTCCTCCTACCAAGGAGAAATCCTCCAGTTCTTGCTCACATCCTGCCAATCCTCACAAGTTTAATTCCAACTGTTGTCAAAGTGTTGGATTACTTTCTGGCCAGCTGGCAAGTAGCATTGTCCCAGTCCTCCCTGGTGCTCACCCACGCTCCCTTCACCCCTTCCCGAGAGCCCCAAACATCCCCACATCCAACATCATCAACCAATGGGAAGACTGGGGCAGCTACTTCCTTGGGATGTGTTCGTTCTGATTGGCCAGTGTCCCTCTTGAAGGTTATGATTTCAGAGTTGGAAAATCTAAAGCCAAAACATTACTGATTTCAATTCCCGTTTGGATCATCTTGAATTAAATTCTTGAGTTGTTATATTCTGAAATGTTTTCATACCAGAATATACTAAAAGGTCACACAAAGTGGGAGTAATTTACATGAAGAGGCCAACGCAGCCTATTGTTTTTTGACTTTATGGAGGCAAGTAAACAGAAACTTGGTTTGATCATTCCTTGGGTTCATATACTTTTGGCTGAAAATTCTCAGGGGGAATTCCTCTAGGGAAGTCTTAGGGTGATGGTATCATGCCAGATTAAAATTGGCATCACCATAGACCCTGAAGCCAGGGAGAAGTCACCACTTTTACACAATATGGCATTGTGTCAATGTTATCAGATTTATTCCCCTTAATCACATCATGATCCTGGTCACTCAGGAGGGCCATGGAAGTTTCTAGGAGGATCTACCACTGGCATGTTGTTTCCGTCACTCCTTCTCTCCTAACTCTGATTCTTCACACCGTTCCAAATTGAGTGTAGCCCCAGGGTCCCATCCCTGGCTACATAGGAGACCACCTTGGGGCCTTTTTAAATCCCTATGCCCAGGGCTGGGGAAATTGGCTCTGCTATCTGGGTCTTGCAAGCCTAAGTTTGATCTCCAGAATCCACATAAAAAAAAAATCTGGGCAAGATATGACACATAGTAATCACAATATTAGGGAAGTGAAAACAGGCAGGCCCCTGGGACTCATGGGCCCAATCTACTTAATAGGCTCCAAGCCAGTGAGAGATTTTGGTTCAAAAACAAACAAAAAATAATAGTATTGACACTCAAAATTGTAGACACACACACACACACACACACACACACACACACACACACACGACCATGCACACATGCACACACAGAAAGCTGAATCCCCAGAGACTGATTTAGTTGATCTGGGGGCTCCTGGTGACCCCTCTGAGCAGCTGCAATAGAAAGCACTACTAACCAAACGTCAAGCGAGCAGAGCTGCGGTGATGCCAGCTCTGCTCCTCCCATGTGACCAATGCAAACAACCTGCTTTCCAGGACTGACCATTGGTGCTTGCTGCAGCCTGGCTCAGGTGAAGGACATCTTGGCTGAGAGTATCTCTGAGCTCCCAGAGGAGAAGACTCAGACCTACCGAGCTCTCCTGAAACACCTTCGGAGCCTGGCAGGACAGCAGATCCGGAACATGGCGGTGGGTTTCCTGCTGTCAATCACTGGGTACACACTTATTTCTCCTTCTCATTGACATGTCAGGATGAGCACTGGCAGAAGTAGCATGCCGAAAGGTCTCCAACAATTAAAATGGCAGGCCAATAAACAAATATTTTTAAATTAACAAATGATATTTAGTAAAATGTTCCGTGAAAGTCTAGATGAAATTCGACACAGTAACTAAGCCGCAACATATATCACACAGAGCATCATGGTATAGCACCTAAAGCAAGTTGGGCAACCTTTTTTACTTTGTCCTATTCAAACCACAGCTAGAGAGTCACTATCATAAGGAGGAAAATGAGTCATGGTTGGTTTCCAAGCACACATACATGTCTGAGATCTGCTGAGAGCTGGGTTAGGGATCCCTAGAGCCTGAGGATTCAGCAGAGGACCTCACCTCTGTGAAAACTCTCAAGCGATTCCAAATGACAATACTCATTAGAGCCTGTCAAGAAGAGGGTGACAGATGTGTGTAGGGGTTGGAAGTACTTCTCAAGGAGGGATGAGGTCAGACAAAGCCAGCAGAAGAGCTGCCTTCCAACATGCATGGACCCCTGAGGACACATGATGGCCAAGACCCCCGTGACCCAAGACCCTGGGAGGATCATAGGCAGATGCCTATAAGGAGGGTAGAAGAGCCAAAACACTAACCAAGCTGTCACTCTGTCTCCTCAGTCCTTAGGTGGACATGTTCTCAGCCGGCATCGCTACTCTGACCTGAATCCTATTCTCTCTGTGGGCAATGCCATCCTCAACCTGCTGTCAGAAGGTAAGCTACATTCTGAGCAGCTTGTGGAGAGGTTTTGTCTCTTGTCATTACACTTTTAAATTCTCTTAAGGAATTGCATTGAGTAGCAGCCCTGGATCATAGACTCTCAGTTCACCACAGGGAGTTCCTGTCATGAGGAAAGTATGTTATAACAACAGGCAGAGGTTCATCTTGCTGGCCACACACACACACACACACACACACACACACATACACACACGGGGAGGGGGGGACCATATGCTTGAAGTTCAAGTGTTAGTTCACGTGTTCTTGCTTGACCAGGGTTGCTGTGCAAAGGCTGACATAGGAGTAAGGTTTCAGGGTCCTGGAGAGATGGCTCAGAGGTTAAGAGGACCCTCTAATCTTGTAGAGGACCGAAGTTCAGTTCCTAGCACCCATATCAGGGGGCTCACAGCTGCCTACAACTCTGGTTCTTGGGGGAACTCTATCTTCTGTGGGCACCTGCACTCATGGCACATATCCACAGAGATGGACAATTATATAGTATATATATTTTTAAAAATAAAAATCAATCTCTGGGTGTTGGTGGCACACGCCTTTAATCCCAGCACTTGGGAGGCAGAGGCAGGCAGATCTCTGTGAGTTTGAGGCCAGCCTGGTCTCCAGAGCAAGTGCTAGGATAGGCTCCAAAGCTACACAGAGAAACCCTGTCTCGGAAAGAAAGAAAGAAAGAGAGAGAGAGAGAGAGAGAGAGAGAGAGAGAGAGAGAGAGAGAGAGAGA